ATTGGTTCTTGCAGAAGCTCAAACGTGCTGCGTAACACAATAATGAACCTCATTGGTTCTTGCAGAACCTCAAACGTTCTGCGTAACACAATAATGAACCTCATTGGTTCTTGCAGAAGCTCAAACGTGCTGCGTAACACAATAATGAACCTCATTGGTTCTTGCAGAAGCGCAAACGTGCTGCGTAACACAATAATGAACCTCATTGGTTCTTGCAGAAGCTCAAACTTGATGCGTAACACAATAATGAACCTCATTGGTTCTTGCAGAAGCTCAAACATGCTGCGTAACACAATAATGGACCTCATTGGTTCTTGCAGAAGCTCAAACGTGCTGCGTAACACAATAATGAACCTCATTGGTTCTTGCAGAAGCGCAAACGTGCTGCGTAACACAATAATGAACCTCATTGGTTCTTGCAGAAGCTCAAACGTGATGCGTAACACAATAATGAACCTCATTGGTTCTTGCAGAAGCTCAAACGTGCTGCGTAACACAATAATGGACCTCATTGGTTCTTGCAGAAGCTCAAACGTGCTGCGTAACACAATAATGGACCTCATTGGTTCTTGCAGAAGCTCAAACGTGCTGCGTAACACAATAATGAACCTCATTGGTTCTTGCAGAAGCTCAAACGTGCTGCGTAACACAATAATGGACCTCATTGGTACTTGCAGAAGCTCAAACGTGCTGCGTAACACAATAATGAACCTCAATGGTTCTTGCAGAAGCTCAAACGTGCTGCGTAACACAATAATGAACCTCATTGGTTCTTGCAGAAGCTCAAACGTTCTGCGTAACACAATAATGAACCTCATTGGTTCTTGCAGATGCTCAAACGTGCTGCGCAACACAATAATGAACCTCATTGGTTCTTGCAGAAGCGCAAACGTGCTGCGTAACACAATAATGAACCTCATTGGTTCTTGCAGAAGCTCAAACGTGCTGCGTAACACAATAATGAACCTCATTGGTTCTTGCAGAAGCTCAAACGTGCTGCGTAACACAATAATGAACCTCATTGGTACTTGCAGAAGCTCAAACGTGCTGCGTAACACAATAATGAACCGCATTGGTTATTGCAGAAGCGCAAACGTGCTGCGTAACACAATAATGAACCTCATTGGTTCTTGCAGAAGCTCAAACGTGCTGCGTAACACAATAATGGACCTCATTGGTTCCTGCAGAAGCGCAAACGTGCTGCGTAACACAATAATGAACCTCATTGGTTCTTGCTGAAGCGCAAACGTGCTGAGTAACACAATAATGAACCTCATTGGTTCTTGCAGATGCTCAAACTTGCTGCGTAACACAATAATGAACCGCATTGGTTCTTGCAGAAGCTCAAACGTGCTGCGTAACACAATAATGAACCTCATTGTTTCTTGCTGAAGCGCAAACGTGCTGCGTAACACAATAATGAACCTCATTGGTTCTTGCAGATGCTCAAACGTGCTGCGTAACACAATAATGAACCTCATTGGTTCTTGCAGAAGCTCAAACGTGCTGCGTAACACAATAATGAACCTAATTGGTTCTTGCAGAAGCTCAAACGTGCTGCGTAACACAATAATGAACCTCATTGGTTCTTGCAGAAGCTCAAACGTGCTGCGTAACACAATAATGAACCTCATTGGTACTTGCAGAAGCTCAAACGTGCTGCGTAACACAACAATGGACCTCATTGGTTCTTGCAGAAGCTCAAACGTGCTGCGTAACACAATAATGAACCTCATTGGTTCTTGCAGAAGCTCAAACGTGCTGCGTAACACAATAATGAACCGCATTGGTTATTGCAGAAGCGCAAACGTGCTGCGCAACACAATAATGAAACTCATTGGTTCTTGCAGAAGATCAAACGTGCTGCGTAACACAATAATGAACCTCATTGGTTCTTACAGAAGCTCAAACGTGCTGCGTAACACAATAATGAACCTCATTGGTTCTTGCAGAAGCTCAAACGTTCTGCGTAACACAATAATGAACCTCATTGGTTCTTGCAGAAGCTCAAACGTGCTGCGTAACACAATAATGAACCTCATTGGTTCTTGCAGAAGCTCAAACGTGCTGCGTAACACAATAATGAACCTCATTGGTTCTAGCAGATGCTCAAACGTGCTGCGTAACACAATAATGAACCTCATTGGTTCTTGCAGAAGCTCAAACGTGCTGCGTAACACAATAATGAACCTCATTGGTTCTTGCAGAAGCTCAAACGTGCTGCGTAACACAATAATGAATCTCATTGGTTCTTGCAGAAGCTCAAACGTGCTGCGTAACACAATAATGAACCGCATTGGTTATTGCAGAAGCGCAAACGTGCTGCGCAACACAATAATGAAACTCATTGGTTCTTGCAGAAGATCAAACGTGCTGCGTAACACAATAATGAACCTCATTGGTTCTTACAGAAGCTCAAACGTGCTGCGTAACACAATAATGAACCTCATTGGTTCTTGCAGAAGCTCAAACGTTCTGCGTAACACAATAATGAACCTCATTGGTTCTTGCAGAAGCTCAAACGTGCTGCGTAACACAATAATGAACCTCATTGGTTCTTGCAGAAGCTCAAACGTGCTGCGTAACACAATAATGAACCTCATTGGTTCTAGCAGATGCTCAAACGTGCTGCGTAACACAATAATGAACCTCATTGGTTCTTGCAGAAGCTCAAACGTGCTGCGTAACACAATAATGAACCTCATTGGTTCTTGCAGAAGCTCAAACGTGCTGCGTAACACAATAATGAACCTCATTGGTTCTTGCAGAAGCTCAAACGTGCTGCGTAACACAATAATGAACCTCATTGGTTCTTGCAGAACCTCAAACGTGCTGCTTAACACAATAATGAACCTCATTGGTTCTTGCAGAAGCTCAAACGTGCTGCGTAACACAATAATGAACCTCATTGGTTCTTGCAGAAGCTCAAACGTGCTGCGTAACACAATAATGAACCTCATTGGTTCTTGCAGAAGCTCAAACATGCTGCGTAACACAATATTGAACCTCATTGGTTCTTGCAGAAGCTCAAACGTGCTGCTTAACACAATAATGAACCTCATTGGTTCTTGCAGAAGCTCAAACGTGCTGCGTAACACAATAATGAACCTCATTGGTTCTTGCAGAAGCTCAAACATGCTGCTTAACACAATAATGAACCTCATTGGTTCTTGCAGAAGCTCAAACGTGCTGCTTAACACAATAATGAACCTCATTGGTTCTTGCAGATGCTCAAACGTGCTGCGCAACACAATAATGAACCTCATTGGTTCTTGCAGAAGCTGAAACGTGCTGCGTAACACAATAATGAACCTCATTGGTTCTTGCAGAAGCTCAAATGTTCTGCGTAACGCAATAATGAACCTCATTGGTTCTTGCAGAAGCTCAAACTTGCTGTGTGACACAATAATGAACCTCATTGGTTCTTGCAGAAGCTCAAACGTGCTGCGTAACACAATAATGAACCTCATTGGTTCTTGCAGAACCTCAAACGTGCTGCTTAACACAATAATGAACCTCATTGGTTCTTGCAGAAGCTCAAACGTGCTGCGTAACACAATAATGAACCTCATTGGTTCTTGCAGAAGCTCAAACGTTCTGCGTAACACAATAATGAACCTCATTGGTTCTTGCAGAAGCTCAAACGTGCTGCGTAACACAATAATGAACCTCATTGGTTCTTGCAGAAGCGCAAACGTGCTGCGTAACACAATAATGAACCTCATTGGTTCTTGCAGAAGCTCAAACTTGATGCGTAACACAATAATGAACCTCATTGGTTCTTGCAGAAGCTCAAACATGCTGCGTAACACAATAATGGACCTCATTGGTTCTTGCAGAAGCTCAAACGTGCTGCGTAACACAATAATGAACCTCATTGGTTCTTGCAGAAGCGCAAACGTGCTGCGTAACACAATAATGAACCTCATTGGTTCTTGCAGAAGCTCAAACTTGATGCGTAACACAATAATGAACCTCATTGGTTCTTGCAGAAGCTCAAACATGCTGCGTAACACAATAATGGACCTCATTGGTTCTTGCAGAAGCTCAAACATGCTGCGTAACACAATAATGGACCTCATTGGTTCTTGCAGAAGCTCAAACGTGCTGCGTAACACAATAATGAACCTCATTGGTTCTTGCAGAAGCTCAAACGTGCTGCGTAACACAATAATGAACCTCATTGGTACTTGCAGAAGCTCAAACGTGCTGCGTAACACAATAATGGACCTCATTGGTTCTTGCAGAAGCTCAAACGTGCTGCGTAACACAATAATGAAATTCATTGGTACTTGCAGAAGCTCAAACGTGCTGCGTAACACAATAATGAACCTCATTGGTTCTTGCAGAAGCTCAAACGTGCTGCGTAACACAATAATGAACCTCATTGGTACTTGCAGAAGCTCAAACGTGCTGCGTAACACAATAATGGACCTCATTGGTTCTTGCAGAAGCTCAAACGTGCTGCGTAACACAATAATGGACCTCATTGGTTCTTGCAGAAGCTCAAACGTGCTGCGTAACACAATAATGGACCTCATTGGTTCTTGCAGATGCTCAAACGTGCTGCGTAACACAGTAATGAACCTCATTGGTTCTTGCAGAAGCTCAAACGTGCTGCGTAACACAATAATGAAATTCATTGGTACTTGCAGAAGCTCAAACGTGGTGAGTTGATGAATGTTTATATTTGAATAAAAGCCCAAATTTAGTCTTCTTCAGAAAATTTTGACTAAACCGTTCAATTAATATGGATCAGTTTTACGATCTCTTTATGAACTTTTTGAAGTATCAAAGTAGTTGTGCAGCTGTCAACGGAGGGACAGAAAGCTCTCAAATTTCATCAAAAAGATCTTCATAGTGTTGCGAAAGATGAATGGAAGTCTTAAGGGTTAGGAACGACATGAGGGTCAATGAATAATGACAGAATTTTCATTTTTGGATGAGCTTTAACTTTAACGCACAATTTTTAATTAATAAAGTCATTTTCAAATATACAGGTTATGTTGGTGCAAGAGGAGAGAAAGGAGAAAGAGGAGAGAAGGGTTCCAAAGGTGACAGGGGCCTTACGGGGCCAAAGGGCGATTCAGGAACTGTGTCTGGTGGCAGTGCAAAAGGAGACAAGGTCTGTTGAATAGTGTGAACCTCACTGAGTGTTTCTGGTCATCTCAGTGTCAATTTAAAGTAATATCTATCTATCTATCTATCTATCTATCTATCTATCTATCTATCTATCTATCTATCTATCTATCTATCTATCTATCTATCTATCTATCTATCTATCTATCTATCTATCTATCTATCTATCTATCTGTCTGTCTGTCTGTCTGTCTGTCTGTCTGTCTGTCTGTCTGTCTGTCTGTCTGTCTGTCTGTCTGTCTGTCTGTCTTACGTTCAGTACGTTCTATTGTTTGTGATATAGTGCACCTTTCTTTAGTTGAATTGTTACTTTTTTGTGTCCTTCAAAATTCTCAGTAATGTGTGAAGTCATTGATGGGGAGCTTGAATGTTCAGCCATCTGTTAGAACGGTGTGAGTGGCAGACAGGTCAATCATTTTTGTCGGTGTGTTTTCACAGGGTACCGTAGGAGAGAAAGGAATGAAGGTTTGTTGCGACGCTTATTCCTAGACATGACTGTGAAAATGTGAATTAAAGGAATAGTTTGTGCCAAAATCACAAAATTAGAAAATGAGCAAACAGAAAATATTATTTTGTGTTTCATTATATTACTTTCTAGAAAATGTTTGGGCTGAATTATAGCTTTAAGCATCTCTCTTTAACATATTTTTTTACAGACATTTATGCAGATTTTCTTAAAGTAAGGCTCACCCATGCTCAAATCTCTGTTACCTTTTTGGTTTCAGGGCAATGCTGGTTTTGGTTATCCTGGATCAAAGGGTGACCGTGGTCCCGCTGGACCTCCAGGGCCTCCCGGTCCCCCCGGGCCCAGTGCAGAGGTAGAGGTGAGAGGAGATGGGTCTGTTGTTCAAAAAGTGACGGGACCAAGAGGACCACCTGGACCTCCAGGACCCGCAGGCCCTGCTGGAAATGATGGGGAGCCGGTGAGTAGCTTGCAGAGAAAGGAATGGTTCAATTACTGCCTCTGTTTTCTATTAGCGAATACATTTACATTTGAAAGGAACAGCGTTATAACATTTTTAAGCCGCATATGTCAGAAGTGGTCTTGTATTTGCCGTTGATGTGTTAGCACAGTAATAGATCCCTATAGTGTTCACCATCACAAGCAGAGAATGATGTTAATACAGGTTTAAGATATGCATCATTGCGAACACAAAGGCGCATTGTGTTTTTGTCCTTGAGACTATGCATAATGCATCGGGCATTGGTCATATCTGAACAAAACTAATATTCTCTCTTTTATAGGGTGACCCTGGTGAAGATGGAAAAGCTGTAAGTAATGCATTTCATAAACTCTCTTATAAAACAGACCCGGGTCAAGTACATTTATCAGTATATCTGAATGACATTATTCTTCTGAAATTATACCTGCTAGTGTATACTATACTTGTTGGCGGGAACAGTTTGTTTTCACTACATAAAACGGGAAGTCAAGTCTGATTTTGTTTTTGATTTTGTGTATTTGTGTTTGCATTCTTATGTTTCAAGTACAAATGATTAAAGATACATTTTTGTAACAGGGTCAAGTTGGACCTCCCGGTTTTCCTGGGACTCCTGGAATCAAAGGAGACAAAGCAAGTATTTTTGGTATCATAATGATATGATAATGATAATTGACAGTCTCATTGTCTTGTTCACCAAACTGCGAATGCAGTTTTGCATGAATGCAGAATTGCGAAAACATTCCAGTTTTTTCACAATTTTTAATTTTAGGGAGACCGAGGTGAAAGTCAGCCAGGACCCCGTGGGCCTCCAGGGCCTCCTGGCCCACCAGGACCCATCTCTCGCTCTGATAGGCCTGTGAGTTCATTATTAGTCAGTCGTTTTTATGACCCCTTTCTTTTTGAAAAAACTGATTTGTAAAAATGTTCATTCCTCTGTTTTCATTTTTCAGACATTTGTGGACATGGAGGGCTCTGGATTTGATATGGACAGTGTGCGAGTACGTTCTGTGGACACTATATTAACTTACAGTATAGTATTAATTCAGATCTCATGCTGAACAACTAACCATCTTTGTTCTGGAACCCCATTGCTGATATTTCTTGATTATTTGATCAAAAATATTATGAAATATTATTACAATGTAAAATAACAGTTTTCTATTTGAATATATTTGAAAACGTCATTTATTCCCGTGATCATAAAACTATATTAATTTCTTTCAAAAAATCTTAGTGACAACAAACATTTGGACCATTGTATACATCACAAGAGTAGAACAGTGCAGTCTTTGGATGTCTGGAAGCGGAATGTAGTGAATTTTATTAACACTTTTTCACTTAATATTGGTTGATAGGCAATGCCCGGTTTGCCTGGCCTACCTGGTCCTCCTGGTCCCCCCGGCCCGCCTGGCCTTCCATCTTCAGGCTCTGGTGGTTTTGGGCCTCCTGGTCCTCCTGGGCAAAATGGAGCTCCAGGTCAACCGGTAAGTCTAAGAAGACATGAAACATGTCACATGTATAACACTGGTTTGAATATGTTGTTTCTGAATACAGTGTTTATGAGTCAGAGACGTGTTCTCTGATGCGTGTTCTTGTAGCCCCACCCCTCCCTGCCGTTTCATGCCCTAATAAGCAAATAAAATAAGTGTTAAAATTTTTATTTTTTTAATAGGGACTTCCAGGTCCACCAGGTACTGATGGAAAACCAGGCTCACCTGGCCCAATAGGAGAGAAGGTATGAAGTAGTGGATTGAAACCTCAGAACACCAACCTCTTCCAGGAAAACCTAAACCATTACAGGGAATTTCACGTTGTGTTTTATAGACCTGGAAAAGTTTATGAAACGTATAACATCTCACAAAATTGCTCTAAAATATTTCATCTAAATGTTTGTAAAAGTCACAGCCAAAGCCAAAGTGATAACATCAGTCTTACTGGAGACAATTGTAAACGGTGTATACATTTTAATCCATGAATTCACTTGACGTCAGTGCTATCTGTAAAATTCCCAAGTTCAGACTGAAAAAAAATTACATAGAATAGAGGACCTTGGTTGGATCTTCACAGTCTGACATACAAATGTAAATCCACCCAGGCAATATCTATAAAATGATTTCTAAAACATCAATATGATATAATCACAAACGACTGGAAAGGTGGTGGAAAAGTCATGACAATCCATTGGTAAAAAGTGTGGAAACCCTGTCTATAAATAGAGAGCTATGCGGGACATTTAATGGATTTGGACTTGCATAATTCAGCTCTGTTGAGATCCCTGTAATGGTAGCTATCTTTAGACACTGGACTGATTTTGTGCTCCACAGGGTGATGCCGGTGAGCTGGGCCTACCTGGACCTGTGGGAGAGAAGGTCAGTTTGCGCAATGTCGTGAGAAACCGTTGCTCATATTCATATATCACATATCTGTTGTGTAAAGCTGAACAAACTGTGAAGTTCTGAATGACTGAGAATTAAATAAGAGTGACATAATTAAACATAAGGCGCTTTTCCACTGCATAGTACGGTACGGTTCGGTTCGGTACGTCTCACTTGTGGTGCTTTTCCACTGCATGGTACGGTACAGTACGGTTCGCTTCAGGTCGCTTTAAATGGTACCTGTTCTGTTGAGGTTCCAAGCGTACCGTACCGGTACTAAAATGTGACGTGAAACACTGCAGATCACTGATTGGTCAGACAGAATCGTCATTCCCTGCGTCACTACTAGCGTCATTGGATTTGCGACACGAGACACGAGACACTTTTTTAGCAGTATTTTTGTTTTGCTGCCATCAGCCTCATTTTAAACACATTTTTCCGTCTAGCAGTTAAAAACAACCACATACCGAGAATCAGGAACACCATCCCCTCGATAGTCTCCATTGTTCCTGTGTTGTGGGTTTGAAAATGTGGCGCTTTTAAGATGATGTCATGGCAGTAGAGGCGCGCGCAAATAACGATCAGTCCCACACACTATGAAGGGGTACTACTGCAGTGGAAACGAAAAGCGATCCGAACTGTTCCGCGGCGAGTCGAAGCGTACTGAGCAGAACCGTACCGTACTATGCAGTGGAAAAGCGCCAAAAATGTTCTACCCGGGAGTGACAGCAAGATCCAGGGAGAAGTTTGTCTTCACAATAACAATCACTAAAAATGTCTGATGTATAGTTATGTGCTGTACGAGTTTTAACTGTCAGCATCAGAAACCTATATAACTAAAAAATGTCTTGTCTGTTCATCTCTGTAGGGCTTATTTTTATTCAGAACGTTTTTTATTCAGATCTCTTTTCAGGCCTTTGCTACTTTTCAAGTATCTACATGTACATTTTTTATTTTTTATTTTACTGATTTCTTTTCCCAGATTCAGCCTTTCAGTCTTAAAATTTGAATATCCATAATACAACATTATAATATTGAATTATAATTAATACTTAATACACTCACCTAAAGGATTATTGGGAACACCATACTAATACTGTGTTTGACTCACTTTAGCCTTCAGAACTGCCTTAATTCTACGTGGCACTGATTCAACAAGGTGCTGAAAGCATTCTTTAGAAATGTTGACCCATATTGATAGGATAGCATCTTGCAGTTGATGGAGATTTGTGGGATGCACATCCAGGGCACGAAGCTCCCGTTCCTCCACATCCCAAAGATGCTCTATTGGGTTGAGATCTGGTTACTGTGGGGGGCATTTTAGTACAGTGAACTCATTGTCATGTTCAAGAAACCAATTTAAAATGATTCAAGCTTTGCAACATGCTGCAGTATCCTGCTGGAAGTAGCCATCAGAGGATGGGTACATGATGGCCATAAAGGGATGGACCAATTGGCAGTAAGGGGCCTAGAAGTGTGTCAAGAAAACATCCCCCACACCATTACACCACCACTACCAGCCTGCACAGTGGTAACAAGGCATTATGGATCCATGTTCTCATTCTGTTTAATTATAGCCTCTTTTCCCTATTTGTAGTGGAGATGAGTGGTACGCCTCCAGGCTGATGGGCTACAAGGTTGTGCGTGTTGTGGCTTCACAAATGATTTGCTGCATACCTCGGTTGTAACGAGTGGTTATTTTAGTCAAAGTTGCTCTTCTATCAGCTTGAATCAGTCGGCCCATTCTCCTCTGACCTCTAGCATCAACAAGGCATTTCCGCCCACAGGACTGACGCATACTGGATGTTTTTCCCTTTTCACACCATTCTTTGTAAACCCTAGAAATAGTTGTGCGTGATAATCCCAGTAACTGAGCAGATTGTGAAATACTCAGACCGGCCCGTCTGCCACCAACAACCATGCCACGCTCAAAATTTCCCATTCTGACATTCAGTTTGGAGTTCAGGAGATTGTCTTGACCAGGACCACACCCCTAAATGCATTGAAGCAACTGCCATGTGATTGGTTGATTAGATAATTGAGAAATTAGATAATGAGAAATTGAACAGGTGTTCCTAATAATCCTTTAGGTGAGTATATATTTAAAAAAAAAGATTAAAAATGCTTTACAAATAGAATAATACAAACAAAGTGAAAGTGATTTCTCTATGAAAATAATTTGTAGTCTGTTTACTTGGTTATAATGCAAACAAAATTGTCAGTGAAGAGCATATTTGCGCTGAAAGTTAAACGTTAAGATAAATATCATTTCCATCCTTGCTGTAATTTTGCCAAATTCTCAAACACTTTCAAAACATTTCCACCATAAACTGCTCTCAAACACACAGTGGTGGAGGAAGTACTTAAGTAAAAGTACAAATAACCAGATAAATATTTACTTTAGTAAAAGTAGAAGTAACACAATGACAACCATACTTAAGTAAAAAGTAAAAAGTACTTTATTTTAAATGTACTTTAAGTATTAAAAGTAAAAGTACTTGCATAACAATTTTATTATCTTAATGTCTATTTTCTAATGATTAATAAAACATTTAATTCTAACTCATTCAACCTAATAGCCTACTCCTATAATGATGTTCAATAATGATGGAAAAAAAATTTCACCATTTCTGAAACAAGCTTGCAATTAGGCAATATACACATCATGCTTATCCTTACTATATGTTAATAACTATGTTTGGCAGTAAACGAGATTAATTTATGGTGTAATTCTGAACCTCTTGGCTTGCCATAATCCTAATATAATCAAACCAAACATATATTACACACGGTGTGTTTCCTATGCACGTAAAAACAATTTTCGCGTATGAGTTGCACGATAAACACACTGCGTGTGAGACGCATTTAGTGTGACCGGGTTGATATACTGTATCTATGGCAACCAAACGTCACTGGTGAGACAAACGTGCAACGAACGGACGGTCAGATTACGTTTTGGCAGGGGAAAAACTGATCAGAAAATGTAACGAAAATGTAACAGAAGTTGTAGAAATGTAGTGGAGTAGAAAGTATAATAATTGCTGCAAAATGTAACGAAGTAAAAGTAAAAAGTAGGCACTATTTATTGTACTTAAGTAAAGTAAAGATACGTGAAAAATGTACTTAAGTAAAGTAACGAAGTATTTGTACTTCGTTACATTCCACCACTGCAAACACAATGCATATTTTGAAATGTTGTGGAAATGGATGCTATGATCAAAAAATGCCCATTGTTGAAAAAAAAAAAAGTAAGAATAATGTTGCATTATTGTGTCACTCTTAGTAAAACATATTTTCTTCTGAAACAATCAAACCCCCTCAGGATTCTTTTATGTTTCTGTCTCTGTAGCAAAACTCCTACTTTCCCAGCTATCTCTATGATCTTCTTTCCCACTATACCTCATCCTTCTCCTCTAAAGCTGCTGGGTGGCAGGTAGCAAGTAGCAATCAATTTTCTTCACAGACATCTCAACTGTCTACACTACAGTTCTAATGCTTGAAATGTAGTATCATTATTGTACTGATGGTAGTGTGGACTTTTTGTGGCATTGCTTTGTAGAAGCGTTGTGTCAATGTGTTTTTTGCAAACTAACATATTTTGCTCCTGCCTGGAATCTTGGTATCTTTCAAGCTAACAACATGCGTTGTTTTACTCATCTTACTCCTTGTCTTTAAAGGGCGCCACGGGTCCTGCCGGTTCCCCTGGTCTCCCTGGGCAGGGTGGGCTTGCTGGTCTTCCAGGACCAATGGGACCCGTTGGACCACCAGGACCACCTGGTCCACCTGGCCCAAGATATCACGTTGGATTTGTAAGTATTAGTCAGTCATCCTTTGTGCTTCACTGTGTTTTAGGAAACCCATCAAATATTGTGTTCTCTGTATATGTGTTCAGGATGACATGGAGGGCTCTGGTATTCACTTCAGTTCAGTCCCTGGGGTAAGAGGACCAGTTGGAATTCAGGTAATTTTTTTCTCTGTTGTACCTTTATTGGTTCTTATCTACCCTTGTTGGTTTTTAGAAGTTAATTTTCTGCAAACGTATTTCATTTCAGGGTCCTCCTGGTATCCCAGGACCACAAGTAAGACTATTTATTCATTCAAATGAGATTTATTTTATATCCCAAAGATATAATTTTCATTTGGGGATTGTGCCATTTATTCATATCTTGTTCCTCAGGGTATCCCAGGATATCCTGGTGTGAAAGGTAGCGAAGGACTTCAGGGACAAGATGGCCGCCCTGGTTTGGATGGCTTCCCTGGACCACAGGTGCATTTCATTTTAATAAATCTCTTTTGTAGATGTACTAAATAGCCAGTCTGGCGTCCAATACTTCAGTGTTTTGCATTTGCCTGCAGGGACCAAAGGGCGACAGGGGAGACAGAGGCGAGAGGGTGAGTTTACTTCTGTCTGAAGTGAATCAATGTAATATCTAGGACAAATTTAGCAAAAATCAAAATTGCACATCATTGTTAAACGTGATCATCTGCTTAGGGTGAACCTGGACGAGATGGAACTAGTTTTCCAGGTCCACCCGGCCCCCCTGGACAACCTGGACAAATTATTTATCGTTATGCTGAAAATGTAAGTCTTCAAATTTATATTGCCTTTTTTGTTTGCCTAAAATAGTTCATGTTTTTATTAAGCTGTTTGTCATTTTTTTTTTGTACAGTATGATGAAACTGGAGGAGTAGGGCCTCAGGTATGAAAGTCCTGCCTCTAATAGTCCCTTGCTACTACATTAGGATACCAGAAATTGTTTTGTGGGGATTCAAAAGCAGACTCATAACATACAATTTTCCAATATCTATGAATCGTTTGTGTGGTTTTCAGGGTGGGAGTGGTGTTCCTGGTCAAGCAGGATTCCCAGTAAGCACTAACTAACTTCATTTGTTCATCCCCCCCTTTTTGATCACTTTAGACATTTATATATATTAGAAGTAATTATTAAAGCCTCAAGACAAGAGGCTATTGCAGTGAGTTTCACTATGGGTAAACAGTTTATTTGATATGATGCAAAGCAGGGAAATACCCTTAACTATTGTAATGTTTAATTCATTGTTAGTTCAGTTAATTTTCTATTAAAATGATATAAAACAAATATTATAATCTATTTTAACAGTAAGGGTAGACTGTTCACGGCTTCCAAGTAACATTGCAATTTGGCGCATTAATAATATAGTGCATTTATTTTACACACTGCCTCTTTATCCAATCAGGGCCCAATGGGACCGAAAGGTGATAGAGGAGAGCCTGGTTTACCAGGCTATGCCATTAAGGTTTGTGAGCAGAAATCAACACACAAAGTTTAATATGAAGTGTTTAAAAACCCCAACGGCTCACTGCTGCAACCTTACTTTGTTTGCAGGGAGAAAAAGGAGAACCTGGACTTATTCTTGGACCTGATGGAAACCCACTTTACCATGGTGGATTGGTAGGCCAAAAGGTATTTTATTTTATTTATTTATTTTATAACCATATTTGTGTTCATTCAAATGCTAAAGTGTAGCGTACATCATAATGTACTTGTTTTTCACTCTCTGTAGGGTGAGAAAGGGAATTTTGGACCAGTCGGACCTCCTGTACGTTTGTATTTATTACATATTCTTTTAAATTCAAGCTTCAGACAGAAACAATTCTAGCATTCCTGTACTTGGTAAAAAAGAACATTTCATTTATTCAGGGTCCAGCTGGACCTGCTGGTTTGAAAGGTGAATTTGGAATGCCAGGCAGACCCGTAAGTCTCTCAAAAAATAACTTTCATCTACAAAAAATATTTGCTGACAGGCAACAGCATACTTAACGGAGTATGTAATTGAATTTGACTTAATGTCTTAATTTTATGACTGTAGGGTCGCCCAGGTGTGAACGGATACAAAGGAGAGAAGGGAGAACCATCGTCAGGCTCTGGATATGGTTACCCAGTAAGTACACCATGCAGTTTGTTCCATCAGTGATTGTTATACAAGTAGCTTGCCCTCATAAGTTATTTTGTGTCTTTTCAAGGGTCCCCCCGGTCCCCCAGGACCCCCTGGTCCCCCCGGTCCTGCTGTGCCCTTGGACAGATTTGGAGTAAGTGCTATTTGTGTAAAATAAGCTGTAATTCATGCATGAAATGTTGCAAAATGAGCTCCATATGGTGGTTGTTGAATTGAAGTGATCATGATTGCAACAGCACTAATTTGCTATCTCCTTTTCCATTTTAGAGATATGAAGATTATTCAAGGCAATACCCAGGTAAGATGTTAGTCATTCTTGTCACAGCAGATGTTCAACATATATTTTATAAGTGTCATAAAAGTCAACTTAAGTCATCTTATTTCCTAAAGATCTTACTGTGCAAGATTGATCTGTAAATGTTTTTCTTTATAAAAAATTAGGGCTGTGCAAAAATTAATTGCGATTAATCGCATCCAAAATAAAAGTTTGTGTTTACATAATGTATGTGTGTGTGCTGTGTATGATTATTTTGTATATATATATATATATATATAAATACATATGCATGCATGTATATATTTAAGAATTATTTGCACGTAAATACTGTATACAGTATATGAAGAGTTCAGATGCAAAAGCCTCTAAATGCCATTTGAAATTTTCTTCTTTAATGACAATTTTTATCAAACTTGTATATTTAAGTTCAGTAATTTCACTTAAATAACAATTAATAGGTAATTATCATTGCCATTTAATTGAAATTACTGAACTTAAATATACAAGTTTGATAAAAATTGTCATTAAAGAAGAATATTTCAAATGGCATTTAGAGGCTTTTGCATCTGAACTCTTCATATATATATATATATATATATATATATATATATATATACAATACATGCATGCATATGTATTTATATATACACAATATATATATATATATATATATATATATAATTATAATATTTTCTTAAAAATTTACATGCATGTGTGTGTAATTTATATATACAAAATAATTATATACAGCATTATGTAAACACAAACTTTTATTTTGGATGCGTTTAATCGCAATTAATCTTTGCACAGTCCTATAAAAAATCAATTTATAAACTTGCTCTGCCTCTTTTTCTATATTCTGTTCTGGTCCAATTATTGGTCCAAATGGATCAAATCAAATCCCAACCTACATTTTTTTCCCTTCAATGCCTTTTTTTCAATATTCTGGAAGAATAAAGTATTGTGAAGTGCATTTTATGTTGATTTTAATGATATTAATTAGTTCTCCAAATGTCTCCAATCATCCATGACTATGAAAAATGCAGTGTTTTGTTTTCTTAAGCTACGAAAGGAGATAAAGGAGACCAGGGAGCTCCTGGGATTCCCGGATCACCAGGTAAAACGTACCACTGTTGCTGTTCCTAGACATTAAGGGCCGTTGACAGGCGGGAATAACAACACTATCCTGAGCTCTGTCTAAATTATCCTGACTTACTATCTTGACATCATTATCAAATCATTGTAAAAGGTATTGTGATATTTAATGCATGAATATATAATGTAATATTCACTTTTTTTTTACAGGCTTTTCCTCAAACCTTGATATCTATGCCCTCAAGGTATGTGGATCACTAAATACATAAATGAAAGTATTTGATGAAACGGTTGTTTGATTAAAATAATTATGTAAACGTGAAACCGGTTTCCTCAGAATGAGATGAAGGGCGAGCAAGGTGATTCCGGTCTTAAAGGAGAGAAAGGAGAGCCAGGAGGTGGATTTTATGACCCTCGTTTTGGAGCCGGACAGGGACCGCCAGGAAACCCAGGTCTTCCTGTAAGGATTGATAGGGGTTTCTAGACACAACCTGAATTGAGTGCTTACATGCTCTACATATGGATGGTTTATATATTTTCCAGGGACCTAAAGGAGACTCGATCAGAGGTCCCCCTGGACCGCAGGGTCCACCAGGACCACCTGGGGTTGGTTATGATGGTCGTCCAGGAAACCCTGGACCTCCGGGACCCCCTGGCCCTCCGGGGTCACCGTCATTGCCAGGAGCCTACAGACCACGTAAGATAAAAACCAGTCTTCCTGCTTTCAGAATATTCTTGAGGAACTTAAATAACAGGTGATTTTTGTATGTTTCAGCACTCAGTATTCCCGGGCCTCCAGGTCCCCCCGGCTCACCTGGAATTCCTGGCACTGGATCTGGGGTGAGATGGACATTCATTGAAGAAATTACTAATAGAGTATATCTGATAAAACAGCCGACACTTGATACTTTAATCACACGCCTGGTTTTAAATGTGTCAGCAGGTGACTGTCATGAGATCTTATGACATAATGTTTGCGACGGCACGCAGACAGACAGAAGGTGCTCTGATTTACATTTTAGACCGAAGCGATCTCTACCTCAGAGTTCGGGATGGTGTCAGACAAGTGATGGTACAGACACTATTTTTTGTGCACACCTATTCATTTATTTCAAATAAAAATAAGAGAAAACATCATTTTACATCATAACATCATTTTTGTACATAATCTTTTATGATAACATTTCTGAATTATAGATTATATAAGATTCACTATTTCATCATTTTTAATTCTCCATTTTGTCATCTTATCCATGTTTGTCACTGACCCATTTCAAGGAGAACATTATATACTGTTTTTTTTAACATATCTTTTCACATATCAACACAGATTTTCTTTTATTTTCAGCTTGGAGATTATAAACCCTTCTATGGAGAGCTGGTAAGCAGTGTGAATGAACCTCTTTAACATTCAAATAAGCACCCACCATTTAATCAAAGGACGTTGGAATTAGTGGATGAGCGTATCAATTCCTGAAGGTATGACTGTAGCTTGTTGGCTTTTCCTCCAGGACAATGAGGTGGCAGCGGTCCAGCCGCCCCCTGTTGTTCACTATTCCCAGGACCACACAGCCAACAATGGAGCGGAGCAGATTTCTCCACCGCACCAGCCGATTGAGTTTCCAAGGAGTGAGCCAGAGAATAGAAACCCCAATCCACCTGACTCCCGTTACCCAGATCCACGATACCCACCTTACACTGATAACAGGTACAATCCTGTACAACCAGAAATCAGATACCCTGTTCAACCTGGGAGGAACCCTATCACTCCAGCCCGCCGTCCCAGCCCCCCTGTCAATCAACCAGAAGGCCACACCCACACTTCCGGACCGGGGGTTAGTTCGGTCAACCAAGTCACAACATTTGCACAGTTCACCTTTGTTTATTTTGACACCACTTTCTTTCTCTGTGCAGTTGCATCTTATTGCCTTGAATTCTCCACAAGTGGGGAACATGAGAGGCATTCGTGGGGCAGACTTCCTGTGTTTCCAGCAAGCTCGGGCCGTGGGGATGAAGGGAACATTCAGAGCCTTCTTGTCTTCCAAACTTCAGGATCTCTACAGTATCGTCCGCAAGTCCGACAGAGAGACGTTACCAATTGTTAACCTCAAGGTGTGTTGTCCATTACTCATGCAGATCTTCATTTCAGATTATCAAAGCACCGAGCCATTAGATTACAGTGATTTTAACATGGTTATGGGTGTTTTAGGCAGAGCACAGAGTGGGGTACCTAAAAACCCCTTTAATTGTGATAAAATAACTGTACGGCTCCTCCATTGCTTTCATAAAATCCATAACCCCCCATGAATGGACCGACTCACATCCTAGCCATGCTTTGGACGACCCTGGCAACAACATGATTAAAAAAAAATATTTATCAAATTCTACTAATTCAGATAAATCAGAAATTTTATAAATTTTTTTCCACCAGGTAGAATTTAAATGAGCCGAACACTGTGTTCAAATTTTCCAAGTGATTTGTCCAGACTAGAAGTGAAAAGGCTTTGTGATGCAGCACAATAACAACAAATCAGAAGATACAATGTTTAATATACAGTTCTAGTGGTACCAAATAATTGAAAATATCACTTTCCATGTTGTTGCCGCGTGAAAGGACATTATTGTAGATTGAGATGGCTTTTTTAATGCAGTCCAAATCCATAACCAGTCCCTCCAGAAAAACGCGATTATGCGATCGCTGAATTCAATGCAAAATCAGCCAAAGTCCGCATATTTATGCGGGGGCCGCATTTTTTCAAATACGCCGTACTTTCGCCGCATAAATTGCCGATTTCCTTGCAAAATATGCGGGGTTTGCATAATTTCATAATCCTCGCATTTTCGTTGCAAAAAAGTCACGTGTATTTTAGTAGAAAGTTAAAAAATGTTCCGTTTGCTTCACACAAGAGCAGCCATTTCCCCCTGTTTCCATGGGAACGTTATGAAGTGACGCAATTACGCGACGCCAGACAGACTCACGGAGGCGATCGACATCTCACAAATCGAACTCGTATAACTGTTTGTCACACGTTCTACCGTCACATCGTTACTTAATAAACAACATAAGATAAAAGAAGTAGCATCAAACAGAAATTACCCGCACACATGGGGTGTTCAAGGCGCACATATAACACTGCAGAGAGCTCTTAAAGGGGCCACACCTTATTTACACTCGTTACAGTCTGAAATAAAACAAGATGAGAAATTAAATATTCCCAGCACTTTCTATGATGATGTATGCTTGCTTATCAAAGGAAGTAATAAGAAATGACTCTTACATTAGCCTAGTGAGAACAGGATGTTGGGGGAATCACTGAAAAAGAGAAATCTTTTTCATCAAACCGCAATTTTTGCTACTTCTCTCAATTTTTGCAAATTCCTGCAATTTCATCGCATAAAATTGCATAAATATCCCGCATATTCCATCGCATTTTTAAAGAAAACGGGCCGAGTAATCAATCAATTTTTGCCCGCAACAATCACAAAAAACTAAGCGTTTTTCTGGAAGGACTGAATACTATGGTAAATGTTATATATAAATCGCAAATTTTTTCACAAATTTTTGGAAATTACCACTACAAAATCAGTCATTTTGATCGCAAAAATCACAAAAAAAAAATCGTGAAATCCTGGAGGGACTGCATAACACACTACATACAAAATTGAGCTTGCGTAGGTAGAATCAGATGAAGCTGATAACCATGTCTGTATAGTTCGCACTGAGTATGTTTCGGGCCTCAGAACACAAAGATGATCATTTGATCTTGTGGATTTTTTCGAGATTCAAGACCCAACTCATTTAGTGGTCAATACACTCATTTGGTGACCATGTTTCATGTCTTTTCATGGCATTGATATTCTCTTCTGCAGGATCAAGTCCTTTTCAGAAGCTGGGAGTCTCTCTTCAGTGACTCCGAGAGCAGGATGAAGGACAATGCTCCTATGTACTCCTTTGATGGCAGAGATGTCCTGAGGGACAGTGCCTGGTGAGTGTCAGTGGCTTTGGCTGATCTGTGTGAACCCTTCAAACAGAGGCCCCGGCTGATCATCCTGTCAGTTTTCATTTTCCTTTAAAACCACTCAGTCCACTGGAGCTAGAGATGAATTATCTATCTATCTATCTATCTATCTATCTATCTATCTATCTATCTATCTATCTATCTATCTATCTATCTATCTATCTATCTATCTATCTATCTATCTATCTATCTATCTATCTATCTATCTATCTATCATCTCAGTGGCGTAGGCAGAAATTGTATTTTGGGTGGGCCAGTGAAAATGTGAGTGGGCGTATAGTTTTTCATAGAAAAAATAACTTCAATAATAATTAACCTTAGAGAGTAGAAAAATTAACAGGCAAACACCTTATATTCGGCAAATCATCATGTTCAACCAACAGAGCTCAATAAAGGCTGGACAAACCAGTGTAGACAATAACTTGTCTATTTTATTCAGGCTAGTCAGCAGTGCAAAGACAGTTCACCCGAAAATAAAGTAAGCTAAAATAATAATATCGCAGCAGTTAGATTGGCGGGTAAACTCGCGTCAGGCTGAAAGGGAGAGAGAGAGCAAGAAGCTGCTGCTGCCAGCACCTGACTTGCCTTCTTGCGGGTTAGTGAGTCTGAAGAACTGGGCTGTGTGGACTCGATAGATAAAGGAAGTGCCGTGTCTTCTTCCTCAACTCTTGCTTTTTCCAAATAGCACATTAAAGAATGTTGTTTAGCCATTATTTTGGCGCCGCCGAGAGTTTTCCTATCGGAACCCCCAGCAACCATAGCAACCAATAACGTTCCGGAGGGAGGCTTTCTATAATAACTTGCTTCAACAGTTGCATTTTATACGGCAAAACGAATTAAGCACACACAGCAGTCAACAATAAATCAGGTATATATTAATATATTTTCTTAAACACATTTGAATAATAAAAATAAACTAAAAATCTATCTATCTATCTATCTATCTATCTATCTATCTATCTATCTATCTATCTATCTATCTATCTATCTATCTATCTATCTATCTATCTATCTATCTATCTATCTATCTATCTATCTATCTATCTATCTATCTATCTATCTATCTATCTATCTGTCTGTCTGTCTGTCTGTCTATCTGTCTATCTGTCTGTCTGTCTGTCCACAAAAAAAACATTATATATTATACAGTTCTTCTCATAGATATCCCATTTACTTGCTATTAACTCTTTTCCCACCATTGATGTAAATTCCCATCATTTATGAGACAACGCATCCCCACCATTGACGGCATTTTCCAGCTTTCCATGTTTTCACTATACAGTAGGGGTGCTATTCACATCTTCTGATAGAGTACTGAATATCCTCATAAAAACACATGCTATCACTTGTTTTTGCTTCTTTATTGCCCATGTATGCAGATGCATATGTAAAATAATGCATTCATCAACATTAAACGCCGGATAAATCAAAACGGCGTAATGTCACTGAATGAAATGTCGACCCAGGATGAGGTATTGGACTGTGAAACTATAGGGGGACTCCATGTTGAGGGACTCCATCTACTTAAAGGGATAGTTCACTTTGAAATTATTTTTTTGATATGTTTTAGCTTACCTCAAGGGTATCCAAGATGTAGGTGTCTTTGTTTCCACAGTAGTTTCAATTTTGATATTTTTAGGTCAAACCGTTCTTGTCTGTCAGTCATATAATGGAGGTCTATGGTCACCACCTCAAAGAGCATGCACAGAGAAGTCCAAATTAAACATGATTTAATGACTCGTAAATATAAGTACACAATGATGGCCTAAGACACAAAACGAGCTGTTTGTGTGAGAAAATGAACAGTATTTATATTGTTTTTTCCTCGTGTAACCACAGTCACGTCCAAGTGATCTGAGGGTGCGGGCGCTTCGATCTGCGCATGCGCCGGAAGTGATCTCTCGCGCGTGTACGTCCAGAGGCCAAATCAATGTGTACTTAGATTTACGACGACGAGTCATTAAATCATGTTTAATTTGGACTTCTCTGTGCAAACTCTTTGAGGTGGTGACCATAGACCTGCATTATATGACTGACAGACAAGAACGGTTTGACCTAAAAATATCAAAATTGAAATACTGCGGAAATAAAGACACCTACATCTTGGATGCCCTTGATGTAAGCTAAAACATATCAACAATTAATTTCAAAGTGAACTATCCCTTTAATCAATGTTCTGATCATCGTTTGAATCTGATCCGGATGTAGTCTTTGACAAAAATGTGATTTTCTCCGCTTTGTGCATAAAATCTTACTTTTTTTTATGAAACGTACCCACATTCAAGCGTTGAAAAAAAAGCATTAAGCTAGAATAAAGGTTTTTTGGGGGTTTAAAAGCAAAGGGTCTGTTCTTTCTTTTGATATATTGCATGTTCAGATATTCATTCAACAAAGTATTCTGGGGGCCATGAAAATTGTGAAAATGATCAAAAACACTGGTGGGAAAAGTGTTAGTTCAACGATTCAGTGCCCAATCTTTGGCCGGTCCAATGATTCATTCTTCCAATCTTGTAAACAAAATGTTGTTTCCCAAAAGACTGATTAAAATCCTGAACACCATGACCCCGCAGTCAGCCAATGCAATTTGACTTTGTAATTTCGGAAAGGTCTTGGTGTTCAGATGTCCAGGTTTTCGCTGTCTGAGAAGCACCTAAAATGATGATGTTCCTTCCTCTGTCCTGTAGGCCAGAGAAGATGATCTGGCACGGGTCCAGTGGCAGGGGTCACAGGCAGACGGATAACTACTGCGAGACGTGGCGGGCCGGAGACCGTGCAGTGACAGGTTTGGCCTCATCTCTGCAGGCTGGCCAACTCCTCCAGCAGACCTCCAGCAGCTGCTCCAGCTCCTTCATCGTGCTGTGCATCGAGAACAGCTACATGGCTCAATCCAAGAAATAAAGCCGTCCAAAAGAGCTTTTGAACACTCAACAGAACAGTTTATACAGGCGCTGTTTCACTCCAGTAGATTCCTGTATCTAATAAATGGAGATTTTTTTTTTTTTAAAGAACTGAGTCTGCCTTAAGGAGAATTTGCCAGTCATTTATTCCCTCACCGTAACGCCAAAGAAGCTGGTTGAACGTGGAGGTGTTTGCTCTCTCTCAGGGCATTGGCACATATTTTTCAGGGGGTTAAACCAGAGAAGTGAGGCCAACTAAGGCAGTGTTTTTAACTGTATCCATATAAAATTTTGTATATGAATTGTTTGTCATCTGTGTTGTTGTTTTTGGATTTTTTGAAGATGTCTTAATTGGTATATTTAACCAATTTTACCTATATTGTTTGTGTAACTTTTTTTCCTCCCCGCTTGCCTGTACCGATTCAATTTTCATCCAAGGTTTGTTGGATACTGAGGGGCAGACCTTATAGTTTAAGGTTTTAAAAAGAGAAAATATTTATTTTGCAATAAAGAGAGCTAAAATATGATTTGAAACTATTAAAATAGAATACTTTTTTCTATTTTAGTAAGCACCTTTTTTTTTACATACTTCCACAGATAAAAGTGCAAGACTGAAATAGTTAATTGTTGCTAAAAATGGTCGCTCTCTCGAAAAAAGCTCCAGTGGGCAAAGAGAAGATGCCTTGAATAATTCAATACTTGTCACTCAAGAGTTTTTGTACAACAAAATTATTTGGAAAAACTTCTGTTGCATCTATGGGATCACTTTGTGTGTGTGTGTGTGTGTGTGTTTTTTTTCTTTCTTTTCTTTTGTGATTAATGTGAAATTACACTACATTCTTCTTAGTGTCATTGCTTGTTTTACTCTTCTGGTTGATTCCAGAAGTTTTGATAAAGCAAAGTGGATGATTTTTGTAACAATTGACAAATATTCATGAAAAAAAAAATTTTACTCAAAAATAGCGGTTACATGTCCCATAATTCATTGGACATATGAATTGCATTTCACTGATGAAACAGGTGCTGACAGTGTTGTTCGAGAGAGACAAATGTGTTTTATGAAGACACTTTATCCTCTATCCATATGGAATTTCAGACACCTAATCCACTATAGTGCTACTGATGTGTTCAGTACAACCCTGTGGGCTTTTTTTTTTACCAGTATGTGCTGTACCATGTCTCAGAGGCACTGAATAAATGATTTTTTTTTTTTTTTTTTTTTAGTTTGCCACAATCATTTTGGCACAACTTTTTGTGTATTAAAATCCTTTCCTTAACCTGACCTGTCTGCACATAGCTTAGACTATGTTGTCTGTTCATGCACAATATTAACATTAGATATCATTCACAAGCCATTCCATATCATGAATGTGTTTACTGTTCACTGACTGATTGATTAAAAAATAAAGGATTTTTTTTCTCTCACTAGTATGTATTTTAGATTTTAAATTCATAAAAAAGGTTTTCACCCATTGTTTCCTTTTTGAGATTCATTTTCCCCCCTCTAACAATTAAGTATTTCACCTAAAAATCACTATTTGTCCTTATTTACTGAAGCGATAAAAGTTATTTTGTACATCAAACTAGATTTTTTAATGGTCAGTGACTTTTGGTATAAATCCTGACTTATAGTTCACACAAAAGCCTTCAATCAGCATAAGTGCTCTTCATTCTCAATGGTTGGAATTGTAAACTATGCGATTCTGCTGAATGCTGTTTAAGCACTGAAATGCTCTCAGGCAACCGTCTTCTGTGTGCCTATAGTAGAGGGCCCCAAAGTCCTGATTCGTGCATGTCTCTAAATTGCAGAGCGTGCCCCTTTGATGACATTGCAGTCCCTTCTCAGTGCCTATTGCACTGATTCCCTGTCCGCCTGAAGGGTTTTACAGCCTGTTCAATAGGATTTAGCGATGTGGCCTTGAGAGGGCCTCAAGGCACAAATCAGAGACTGCTGACATGGAGCTGGTGAAGCGGCCTCTTTTGTATCTTAGGACTTAAAGGTCCTTTGCAAGGATTTCAGTCAGGTGGACCAAGCCTGTGGTAAAACAACCCATGGGCATTTGAGAAAATTGATTAAGCAAAAAGTAAGCAAAAAAAAAAAAATGAATAAAATGTCATGCCTTTTCAAAGAGTACTGTTTTAAATGGTCTGAGATGGAGCATGGATCGTCACACTGCAGGATGACAACAGGAGTTCAGCGGCATGGCTTTCTTTATGATTAACTGTTGTTGTTTTTGATGTGATCTGTACTGATATTAAAGAAAACACTGCTTGACTGCACAATTCTTCCCCCAAAATAGAACCAGGCCAACTTGTGACCAGTGCAAAACTAGCATTGCGTTTTGTACTTTTGACTAAACTGTTTGCTTGTTTATTTCCTATTGTACAAACTCATTATACTTTTACAATGGTTATATAATATTATTTTTTTTAATTAATCATATTTTATATAAATACCGTGCCATATTTGGCATTGAGAAAGAGCGTGTGATTGTGACTTCGACTTCAGTGAAAGTTACATTATTGTGCCATTAAATGGCAGTAAAGACTGTATTTATGAATGAGTCAGTAAGACTTTACTTTGAGGGACTGAAACAAGGTTGTAAACAACTCCAGAGCCCGTCTAACGGAGAGCCTTGGCACGTCCTATTAGCCCCATTGTGCATCATCTTGGTTAAAGTTCCATTAGAATTCCACTGGAGTGCAGAATGAATGGGGGTCTATGGAGCTAAACGGCTAAATGTGTCTCTTTCTCCTGCTTGTCGTTGAATCAACATAGATTTTATTGTTGATTCCACAAGTTCAATATAGATTATAGGCCAAAAGTCGAATGAACGAGTACTTATGTCCTTTCGATTTCTTACAGGTTAGGCCGTTGTTGGCCGGAACACGCTAGCATTCTGCTATTGTGTGACCTCTTCACATTTTTGAACGGATTTTTAGAACAGATAAGTGAACTTAAAAATGCAATTTTCAGCTGAGTGTATTATCTTAGCCCTCCCTTTTGAATGCAACTTTCAAATTACTTGACAAAAAAATTACATCCTGAAAAAAGCCCATAGACTCCCATTCATTCTGCACTCGACCGCGAGCGCCCCCGCATGGACAGAGACGTGTTACTGCAGCCAGTCCAGAAACCGGTGCCAGCCAGCCAGCCAGTGCCAATTCTCTTCGATTAGACATTCTTTGACAACTCTATAAGACGAAACTTACAACTGCATTGACTAGCCATGTCATGGGAAATCTTAACCATTAATTAGGACAAAGATATCGCTTTCCTCAGCAGACATTCAAAAAGATTTTTTGATATTTATTGAATATTGAAGATTGACCTGAAGAACATCAGCTAACGTTAATGCACTCGCTTTGATCTCTCTCATCTACTCTTCAGTGAAGCAACTCACCTTTCATTCATTGCTAGTTTTAAAGTTTTATAATAGCTTGTATTCATGTGACGTCACGCCACTGCGTTGCCATGGCGCGAAATGCAAATGGTGGGCAGGAAGTGAAGCCCTATTATAACACACTCAAAATGCCTAGCTATGTTTTGCATCGTTTATGGTTGCTCAAATCGATCAAACCACGAGGAGTTTTTAATCGTGTGCCACAACTTGTTGTTCATAAGGGGGGAAAATACAAGAAATTAACAGAAAACACAGGGAAAAATGCCTTGCAAACCTACGTCTGTGGTGGGGAGGAGCCGAATGGGAAAATGCCCGTGTGTGCAGTGATCACTTCGTCAAATGTGAGGTAATACATTATTTATGTGGCTTATAATTACATTATTCATGTGTTTAAATACACTTATGTGGATGTTGTTCCAGTTTCCGAACTTCAAAGTATGTCTGTAAGACGAGTTAGTTGCTGATATCTACAGCCTCGATGGCAGGCAAATCTCTCAATTCAGTTGAAAAAATATCTCAATTCAGTTGAAAATCGGTCCTCTTCATAACGTAGCAGCTAAGGATCACGTCCAACATATGTTTCGATTTTCTGTTTATATGTTTCTCTAGTAATAGCGTCTAGAGTTAGGCTACAGTACGGATTTTACTCCATCTCGTCCATTGGGCTCTTCACTCCCTTACGAAAAAGAAGTATATTTCAAGTTCATTTTATGTAGTATACTTAAAGGGTTAGTTCACCCAAAAATGAAAATTAAGTCATTAATAACTCATCCCCATGCTGTTCCAACCCCGTAAGACCTTCGTTCATCTTCGGAACACAAATAAAGATATTTTTGATTGAATCTGAGAGCTGGATCAGTCCTACATAGAATGCCTAAGGGACTGGCTCTTGACGGCCCATAAAGTCATTAAAGAAAAGGTTTACATATTCCATGTGCCTACAGCGGCTCAAAAATAAGTTTATCAAGCGACGAGACTACTTTTTGTGCGAAAAAAACCCATAAATAATGACTTTATTCGACTATTCCATTACTTCCTTATGGGCGCATGCGCGAGAACTGAGACGAGGACGTTCTCCTTCGACTACTTCTTGTTACTGGCTGCTCACCGCTTATGAGTATTACCGCCACCTACCGTATAAGATGATGATCCATATATAAGGCGCTCCGGATTATAAGGATTATAAGGATTATTATAAAACACTGTCGTTTTGTTGAGAAGATTAAAGGCTTTTAAGTGCACCTTATAGTGCGGAAAATACGCTAATTGAAAAGCATACAGCGCGCATCTTCCTCTGCTTGTAAACAGAAAGTTTTGCGCTTCCAGCTATATCAGCACATCATCTTATACGGTAGGTGGCGGTAATACTCCTAATGGCTCTTTCAGACTGCACGATTTTCAAAGTAGTCAGGTCGCTGCTCTTTTCACACTGCGTGACTATCTTGGCCAGCATTCAGTCGCTGCTGTGTTCACACTGGACGATGGATCGGCGACAGAAGGTTTCACACTGCATGACTTTAGAAAAATCGCCGACAGACTCTGTCTAGCACGCTGCACGCAAACTACATTTCACAACAAACACGCGTGAGATATGAAAAGGAAACAACGCGCGACACCACACGTGCAAGACCGGAGTTCTCACGTGAGACTTTTTTTTTCGACCCGGTTGTGGTACAGCTGGTGAAACAGACACGAGTGCTCCTGCCAAATTTCTACTAATTTTTCTTCCATTTATTGTGTCCAAATAGACCGAGAAGAAGCTTTTTTTCCTGAAACAATGCCATATCATGTTGATATGTGATCTATAACTCCTCCCCGAACTCCCTGCTGCTCTGTATCTTGCTCTCTCACTGGCTGCCGGTGATCGCCGATGTAGTTTTCAGTCAAAACACTTTTCACACAGCAGGATTTTGAATCGCCGACAGGTCCAGATATTTAGCATGCCAAATATCTCACGGGCGTCGGCGACTCGTCGGTGATTCTCTCAGTTCGCGTCTTTGTTCATTCACACTGCGTGATTGTCACTCGCGTGAACGAGCGCCGATTTGCCTGTGATTTCGGGCATTTGTCGGCGATTTCTTAAAACCTGTCGGCGAGCCAAAATCGTGGCTAAAATCATGCAGTCTGAACTCGGCATAAGCGGTGAGCAGCCGGTAACAAGAAGTAGTCGAAGGAGAACGTCCTCGTCTCAGTTCTCGCGCATGCGCCCATAAGGAAGTAATGGAATAGTCGAATAAAGTCGTTATTTATATTTTTTTCGCACAAAAAGTAGTCTCGTCGCTTGATAAACTTATTTTTGAGCCGCTGTAGGCACATGGAATATTTAAACCTTTTCTTTAATGACTTTATGGGCCGTCAAGAGCCAGTCCCTTAGGCATTCTATGTAGGACTGATCCAGCTCTCAGATTCAATCAAAAATATCTTTATTTGTGTTCCGAAGATGAACGAAGGTCTTACGGGGTTGGAACAGCATGGGGGTGAGTAATTAATGACTTAATTTTCATTTTTGGGTGAACTAACCCTTTAAGTAATGTTCAAGTATATTTTAAGTATACATTACTAATGTCACTATGTACTAGTAGTAAACTTGTAAGTGTACTATTTTAATACCGCTTGGGACTAAATTGGCCCACTTTTAGTACATAAAAAATATATGTTTAAGTGTACTATAAGTGTAACAGTAAGTGCACAACTAGTTCATAATTATGTATCTCATGTGTACTGCAAGTGAATTTATGGGTATACTAGTAGTTTACTTTTTTACTGTAATACTGGTCAATACAAGTATACTTTGAATACTTAATTATACTTTTAAGTATTTCTGGATCAAAAGATTGAGTACAAGAACAGGAAAAACATACTTGCTTTTCTCTCAGTATAAGTCAAGTACACTTAGGTGTAATTTGAAGTATATTTCTGAGAAGTATATATAATACTTCTGAGAAGTACAGGAAAAATAAACTGAAAGTATACTTCCTTTTTTTTAGTTTAAAAGAAGTATACTAATGGCACACTTGAATAAAC